TTCCCCTCGAAGGAATTATTTAGTGTAAGGATCGCAACAGATAACTGCATGTCTACTTTAAAATCAGCACAACAGCTGGGAAGCTGAGCTACTCTTACGCTCGTTAAAAGCAGGCCATGGCTGCCGGTTCGACTATAAACCGCCAGTCAAGGACCTGTGAGTGCAGTTATTACATATTTTTATATAATTTTTTTTCTTTCCCTTCTTTTTATAGAAACTTCAAAACAGCTCGATGTAGAAGGCAGCTCAAATTCTTCCTTCTCTGAGCTCCTTTGACTTACTAAAGCGGGCAATCGATTAGAGATAAATGATGATGGTTTTACTTGAAGGAAAAACTCGCAAGTTAGTGTTGCTTTTGCATGCAGGCTCAGATTTCAAAATGGCGGACGAAATCGATGATTGTAACCTAGATGAACCTAAATTTAAACGCCCCAGAATTAATTCAGAATCACTGAAAACGGGGGAAACTAGAGATGCTGGCCAGTCAGATAAAGGTGAAGTTGAAAAACAAGGAAACTGCGATCAAAGAAACGAGACCGATGGAAAACTTCGAAGTGAAATTGTTACTGGCGTAAAGCACGTGCTTCATGAAAACCCAGAAGAGACTGACGAAATGAAGGCAAATATAGAGCAAGGGAAAGATTCATCGATTGAGGAAGCATCTGAAGATGACCCTGATATCTTAAGAAATACTTGTGCTTCGGAAAAGGACGTAGGAATTTTAGAATTCGTGTCCAACTTACCCGGATTTCACGGAGTCCTGAAACAGAGATACACGGATTTCATCGTCAGAGAGAGGGACCTTCTGGGAAATCTTGTGCGACTATCAGATACATCTTTACCTCGGAAAGAAAAGAACAAAGACTTTGGACTTGATGTTTTAAGTGAAGAAGAGAAAGAGAAAATTCAGCAAGTTATTGATGATAAGGAGAAGAAAACCCTTGCGACTTTATCTCCTGATGACGACAAAGACCATAGAAGATTGGTTCACAGAACCATTAGAGAAAACTTTGCTTTTTTAGGTTAGGTGATTGATTGTTGTAGCTGGGAAATATAAATCATTCTCATCATGCGTCATTTCATTCAGAAATGTTAATGGGTGTAGGGGCATAACCAGGATTTTTCCTGGAGGTGACACTTTGTCAAACAGAGGGCACTCACCAGATTTTAATTTCGTCTTCCATGTGGTGTTTTAGGTAATGTGACAAAAGGCTTATGAATGGGGGTCATTCATAAGCCTTAGGTGGGTGACTTATGGTGGGAGGTTTAGTGGATTTTTGTCAGCCAACTCTAGAATGAACTGTCAGTATTATTCAATGCAACCTTCAAAATCAAAACTCACTGCTCTTAATTACTTTTAGATAGCGACACAGTTGATGTGGGAAACCAAAAGGCGGTCAGAGTATTTCATAAGCGTGATTCTAGTGGCAGGCAAAGAAACAGCCGATGGCCTTCAGAAATTGAGAATTATTGCTGGTTTGTTCTTTACAAAGAAAACAAAGACACCATGGATGCAATCAATTTGTTGAGCAAACTTCTCAGAATCAAGGCAGGTATTTTTGGTTACGCTGGAACCAAAGATCGTAGGGCAGTTACCACACAGCAGGTGTCTGTGTACAGAGTCAGGGCTGAACAGTTGCAGGAATTAAACTCAAGTCTTCGCAACTTGTGTCTTGGCAACTTCCAGTATTGCAAAGAGCCTCTTAAACTTGGCTCTTTATCAGGGAATCATTTTATTATCACTCTCAGGAATGTTGTTGGGGATCACAGAGAGATAGAAGAAAGTCTAAAATCACTTAAAATCAATGGTTTTATAAATTACTTTGGATTGCAAAGATTTGGAACAACCTCAGTCCCAACACATAAAATAGGTATGTATACAATATGCCATTTATTTAAAGTTTTATTTTGTTTTCCACATTGGTTAAATGCATACATGACATGGGAGAACCTTTTTTTTGTGGTGGTGCAGTTAGCCACTCTACCCCACTCTACCTGTATGGAGCAATTTTTGAATTGAGAGGGTATTTTATTGGTTTGGACAACTTTGTTCTGTGATTGGTTGAAACATCTTGTGCCATTCTCACAACCCATCAGGTGCAAAACCAAACTAATCACTTCTTTGTTACTTGTGTTTTCATTTTCCTGCATCTCAGTAGTGTGCCTGATTTTGATTTGAGTTGTTAATGGCTTCTGATGATGCTAACCTTTGTTAATATTGGCAATTGGCAATTTGTATTGGTTTTTCAGCACAGTTGAAAACTGCTCCGCCAAGGAAGGAAAAAAGTAATTGTCCAATATTTATGCAATCCAAATGTTTGATCAGTTCTTTAGTATGCCTATTTTGACTGTCTAATTGTCACAGGCTGTGCATTGCTTCTCAGTAACTGGTCTGAGGCTATTGATCTTCTTCTTAATCCACGTTCTGGTGAGTCCGATGACCTCACAGCTGCTCGACAACACTGGAAAGACACCCATGATGCTAAGGAGACTCTGAAAAAACTTCCCAAAAGAAAGGGTATTGAGAGTGATCTTTTACTTGGCCTTGTGAGGCATGGACCTTCAGGTTTGGTGAAAGCCTTGCAGTCCATCTCCAGGAACACTAGACTCATGTATGTCCATGCATATCAAAGCTATGTATGGAACTACGTAGCATCAAAGCGTATTAAGGTATTCATATTTGTTATTAACACTGTATGCATCTTTTGCAATTCTTCATTCAAACTCAATCTCATAGTCACTACCCCATTACCGGGTAATTATTCCGAATTGGGGAAATATCACGAGGAAACATCGAAAACTTGAAACATTACTGAGAGTCCTACCCCACTTTTTTCCACGTACAGGAGCTGGATGTGATTTCCATGAACTGGGTCCACTACGAATCTGACAATCAGTTTTAATCTGGTGATTGCCTCCTTACCTCCATCCTCTCTGTCGATAGCCGAAAATGAATGTCAAACCATTCGTCGTTTTCCTTACTAAGTCAAATTTGTTGCTGGTTCTCTTTCCTGCGAGGTTCTTTTACCCTAGCGAGGTTTGAAAGCTATGCGTGATATGTGGGCAAAGAGAATTCTTTTTTACATGTATACGCGATTAGATGTCTTGTTTTGATTGAATTTTCAGGAACACGGAATGAAGCCAATCATTGGCGACCTGGTTGTGGCTTCAAAATCAGCGGCATCATGTTCTTTAGACACAGGTGAATTGTGAATGCCACCATGAACCATTCATGCACATTTTCTTTTTTTTCTGCAAGCAATTCCCTGCACATCAAACTTACCTCTTCGCTGACGTGCTCGTCATGTAGGTGTTACTCAGTAGCGTTCAAGCAACTCAGGGACTGAAATGAAATCTCAAGCTTCCAATCAACTTTGGCGTAAAAAACTGCTGTTTTTGCTCATAGTATTCGAATGAAAATAAATGCCGTCAGAAGTCACATACGTATGCTCTATATGAGTATTAAGTATGCGCGTCGTACAGTACGCATATATGCATACGCATATGTTCACAATCATATACGTATTACGTGTATGCTCTACGCTGATAGTACGTTGCGTTTGTCTCGCGTACGTGCGTGTGTGCTCATACGTACGTGAATACGCGTTCGCTTTTGTCGATGTGTCAGACGTTGCGTCGATGCTTCCTCACGTAGTTGCGTCAGTTCGTCAGTCTGCAGGGCGTCGGTGTGCAGGTGCGCAGGTAAGGAGGTTTGGTCGCGAGGACGTAGGTTAGTTAGCTTGACTTATTTCCTTTAACATTAAAGGCACTTCAGGGCCGCAAGACACCGTTGAATTTATTTCCGAGCCAAGCAGGACATCGGTTACCGTTCTTACCAGGGATTTGCTGGAAACAGGTCAGTTCACAATCCATGACGTTGTTCTTCCACTTCCTGGATACGACGTTGTTTACCCTGACAACAGCTTGAAAGATGAGTACAGAAAAATAATGGCCAACGATGGACTGGACATTGACAACATGAGGCATAAAGTGAAGGATTACTCTCTGTCAGGCGCTTATCGGTGAGTGTCTTTCAAAAGATTTTTTTCTCCTCTGCGTTACCTTAGTTATTTTTTAAAGATTTTCTGGAGAGTTTATCGGTCGACCAGGGCCTGTATTTCAAAGTCTGCAATGGCTCTTAGCTCTCCCGTGAAGGACTCTTGTTCGTGGCAGCGACTGTCAAAGCCGAGTTATTTTGGGATCGTCAGTGTCATGAATCGCTCTTAAAACATTTAAATGGAAAACAGTTTGTAACGCTGATGTTTTCTTCCGCTTAGTTGTTAGAGCGTTAGTTTTTGTTACCCAGACCTTGAAATTAACGCGTTTGAGCTGTGACTGAGAGATTATGTAACATTTTATTTTACATTTCATATTTTTTTACAATTTTTGGCAGCGCACCCATCAAACTACGTAGTTTTGTTCTTCGGTTACCTGCAGTAAGTTGACAGTTAGTCTAATTTTCAAGTTGTGAACTTCAAGCATAAAAAGTACTTTCGCATCACCCATTTCAATTTTAATTATTTGTGCCGTACAGGAAATTACTCGTCAAGCCGAGCCTAATGAGCTGGCGCTGGTTGCGTTACAATGACGTCAAACAACCGTTGGTTGTAACCGACAAGGAAGCTCTTTCTGGTGCCCTGGAGCCTGAGTCAGTTCCAGACGGAAAGTACTGGGCGCTGCAATTGGAATTTACACTACCTACCTCAACTTACGCTACAATGGCCTTGCGTGAAGTTCTGAGGAGTGATACGTCATCTGCTTATCAGTCTACTCTTAACCAGGAATGAGGCTCGAATGCACAGATTTAAAAAGCTTTAAACTTCAGAGACACAAAAGGGCCTTTGCTACGTGAGTACCAACCACAGATTTGGTCCGGCGTGTGTTAGCTCTGAAAATGTGATTAACTTTTGTATCATTTCTTTGTCTGACCTATGATGAAATTTAAAACTAGGACACATACGTTGATCACTCTTGAAGATCATAAGGTGAATATTTCTGTAAGACGGCCTTGTAGAAGGAAAAGACGGTTTAGATTTTCCCTCCTATAGACTGCGGAAGAATATCTTATGTTAGATCAACTTTCAAATTGGCGTTTTTTTGGCCATGTACTTGTATCAATAAAGTGAAGTGGCTTTTACAACTTCGGTTGCATAGCGTTTAATATTCTGTCGTGTATGTTGTGCCAACATCGTGTCACAAGAGCATGACCAGTAGATAATGATATTTTTAAACGAAAAATAAAAGAAAGAAAACCAAGCGAAATTTTTGTCATAGTTTACAACGATTTATAACCGGTGGCACGTTTGTTACTCTCGCGAATTCGATCAATCGTGACCTGCCACGACATATTTACACTGTTCATGCTTCCTTGTTGTGGCATCAGAACTTTGGATGACCTTGGTCAACGGACCTTCGTCGATTAACAAGTTATTAAATCTGAATACAATTTTATCCTTTAACTTCGATAATATTTGGCTACAATAACGACTGCTTCCTTTACGATTATATCTCACAGTATATACTTGATGTGTTTTTTTGTTACGATTACACGACCAGTTTTCAAAGGTCTCGCTTGTTTAAAGGTGGTAATTAAAATAATTTGCACATTTCTGGATTGTCTGTTGGTAGTTTGTTGCAATTTTTCAGCGTTGCAACGGACGGAACATAAAAAAAACCTCTTAAAACAGGTAACTACTCAGCGCGGCTTGTTTTATCATAATTGCCATTTTACTACATTGTGCATACTGCGCATGTCAGTTCCCGGTCCTGCTCGTAATACGGGCAGGGCAACACTCCACACTGTCCTTGTACTGACGTTAGTAAAGCTTTCCCGGCTTGTCTTTTGTTGGAGGGCACTTTTACTCCAGTAGCATCAGCGTCAACACAAATGTACTCAGGTCTCGTGTTGTTGTTGGTGTCCGTCATAAGATACCCGTGGTACTCGCGGGTCCAAAATCCATTCGGGCACACATTGGTTCCGGGATACATCATTGAGGATCCTCTTTGTTGCACGCGACACATAGCGCATGGGACACCAAGGTAACTAATATGAGGTCCCCTGCGGCCTTTCCTCATAAAAAGATCCTCCACGTGACCATACTTTACACCAAAGAAGGGCACCCTCGAGTTGGACCCCGATGAAGAGCTCTTGAGGTAAAGAGGATCGAGAGGCATGCACAAATAGTCGGCTCCTCCGCCCTCTCCTGTTGGGCGCCACCCAGCTACTCGGCCTGAGACACAATCGATGAAAAAAGCCTCAATCATGAAGTAAGAACCCAATAGATACCAACAAAATGATAGCGGATAAATTATAAAGTTAGACAGGAGTATATGGGTTCTGGGAATCGTGTGGATTCTGGAAAAGTGCCAAGTTGTTGCTAGGCCTTGAAAAAGCATTCAAACGAGAATCCAAATATGAAAAACTAGGCCTTATTGGAGCTGTAACAAACATTTGATTGCTGAGTGAATATTCTTACTTTTTTTAATTGAGCCTCCTAATTAGGTGATGTAAGTTCAAAGTGCAAATTCACAGCTTTACACAGTTTTGCCCAAACCGCATCGTACTTTGGTATTTCTTCACTGTTCTTTGTATTTCGGCTCTACTGAGATGTTCAACACAATCACAACTATATTAAGTTTTACATCTTCTTTAGTGGCAATACTTCTTCGAAAGTTTAAACATACCTTCATAAACTAGTTCAGCGCCTGTGCGAGATGGACATACACTACGTCCCCATCGAATAAACATGGAACTTCCTGAGGCTGTTTTTTGGGAACACGTCACAGGGTTGCCTGGGGGCCCCTGAGGGCCTTGTTTTCCTCTGTGTCCCTTTTGGCCTTGGTCCCCTTTTGGTCCTGTAGCACCATCTCTGCCTTAAACAAAACAAACCCAGCTGTAGTAGCTACTGGACATCCCTTGAGTGTCAAAACGATCTCCTTGGTGTTCCTCTCTAGTAATTCTTGACACCCAAAGGTCAGTATGCATGTTTTCCATACTGTTTTCTATACATTTCTTAAGCTGCTGACAAAGAAGTTTTGCTTAACAGTTAAGAGCTCCTGTATTTTTTGATCATTTCCATCATTCTCATGACCTTAATGTTTGATCTAGGGGTGATACTGTAAGGAGAAATTAGATGCTAGTCACTTTTATTGGTTAAAGGGTTAAGTATTAATTACAGCATTTTCGACATTCGCGCATTTTAAGACTATCTCCTGTGAGGAATTAAGACGTAAGAGGTTAGAAAGATATGAGAGCTCAAAAAAGGGCAACAGCAAACCAAGGAGGTACAAGAATGGCCGAGGATAAAGAAGATCAAAGGGTATCGTATGACGAGGCTTTTTTTTTCAAGTTGCCCATGCAATGGCGTAACTCCTTATTGTAATTGTAATTTCCGACTAAGTTTGTGGACTTCTCTTCGTTGGCTATGATTTCCTCGAGCTATGAGGCTAAACATGCCATTCTCTAATCCTTTCAAGTTAATAAGATGAAGTAACGTACTAATATTTTGATTAGTTAGTAGCTTCTTGTCGGTGTTATGTAGATTTACCGCGGACATGTTTGGATCTTAAAAAGGGTTCCCTAAATTTCTTAGCCACTAATCAGCTAACAACCAGGCTGTAGAGTTTATCTGATCGAGGCCGCCCTTTACCTTACCCCGCACGCTAAGCTGATTTGCGATATTTTGCAGGCCGTGGGACACTAATCCGAATTACGTGCCATGAAAAAGATCTGTCTATGAGTCAAGCTCGCCCAGAAGTAATGGAAATCAGTGCGAAGTTTCAACAATGCAGCCCAGTTTGGAAGTGCCCAGAGTTGTTTCGGTAGTCCTCAACGAGAAATTAAAACAGGAAATAGTAAATTGATATTGTTTTGCACCAAATTCCGAAAGAAATCAAAGTTTAGGTTAAAAAAGGCGCTCCACTCTTGGATGCAAATGAAGCCAACTTACCCGGCGATCCTTGCTTTCCTGGGATTCCATTTATCCCTGGTACTCCATCGCGTCCGTCGATGCCGTCTCTTCCTACACTAATGAACACGAACACTGCGTCACAACAACTACAAGTTTTCTCAACAATTTTTCGCTCAGAACAGAGAATTCTTTAGTCTTTCTTTGTTCCACTCCAGTCTTCGTTTTCCTCAACGATTTGTTTGGTTATTCCTTCTCCGCTTCTTTTTTACGTAATTGCAGCTGTTTTTCTTCTTTTGTTCATTTTTTTATATAGATTAATTGGTTTACTTGGCTAAGTATAATCATGTTACCTTCTTTCTTATTCTTTTATAATCATGTTCTCAAGTGCTAAGACAATTTTGATAAGCCTGTTTGTTCTAATGGGACTGTCAGCAGATTTAGAACCTATTCATGTCTTAACATACAGTTACGAAAGGAACATTCTGCCTCATTATGCAAAGAAAAAATGGTTAAAGTAAAGTAAGGCAACAGAATCAGCTTACTACTCACCGTCTCTTCCAGTCGTTCCATCCTTACCATCATGCCCCGGTATCCCATTTTTTCCCGGAATTCCATGTGTTCCTTGAGGTCCCTGAACACAAAACGCTCCACCGTCATGCGCACTGAAATTTTTTGAAGCTGAAAAGCTGAAATTTAGAACAAGGAGACGAAAAAATGAGGTTATGAACAAGATCGTTTACACTTTCTTTGGTAAATGGTACAAGCCATTCTGATATATTCAACTTTGCACCACGTGTTAAGTGACATCCTTAAATTTTGAAGAAATCAATCAACCAGGTTAGTTTAGGCAGTGTTGACCGATATTGTTGCACATGGAAACAACGCGTGGACTGATGAATGGACTTTATGTATGTAATTGTTCAAAGCTACAGTGGACAAGAGTCTCGCTTAACTAGCCAGTAATCAGGAAAAGTGACGTTACCATGTGCTTGGTGTCGCTCCGCTTTCCGAGTAACATAAAATAAAGTCATTGAACCATTTTCTACTACGTTCATTGTAATTATAGTGGTTACTAGCAATTTTTCTTGTTTTACGAAGACTTGTTACTGATCTGATTCATCAATACATGCCTTCTTCTTATGTCTGTAAAATTTTTCAACTTACGGTCAAAACACAACACTGGTTGATAGCTCTTAAGGTGGTGATATTTTTTAGATATTCACCAGGCGTTTTAAAGATCTAATGTACATCTCTTAAAATAACAATTTTTTATGCATATTCTATGTGTTATTATGTGATATAATGTAGGATTTCTCTTTCGTCTCTGTAATTTTCGATTCGTCATTCATCCGAAAACTATGAGCTTCGTGCAAAAATGCACATTGGCGGCCCCGCAGTCAGTGTGTCAGTTTAAGTTCAGGTTGGATGTCAAGTGGGCAGCTGTTATTTTGAACAGTAGTGCAGAGAGTCGGAGATGGAAATATTTGGCTCTTTGTGTGGCCAACTGAATCATAAAAAAAAAAACAAAAAAAACAATATACTATTACGATACATTTTAATCAACATTGTTTGTCAATGTGTATCAAAGCAATCTTAAGATAAATGAAGAAAGTAGTAAAATTACGAAGGAATAGTTTCAAATGAACAAGCTCAACTTTTTTTTGGAAAATTCAGTGAAGCATTTGGCTAAAAATCAAATAAACTTATGTGAACTATGTAAAAAAAATAATCGTAAATGTTTGTGTGGGAAGTAGTTTCAATTTTACCACTGTTATTGTTATGCTGTTAACTTCATGTTTGAATATGTGACCTTGACTAAACCTATATGCCCAGAATAATTCTTTATCAAATGACAGTTTTAGTGCACGAACACACTTTGATTAATACCGCTAATTGCTTTCTTTCTTTGATAAAAATGCAATCCCGTTAGTTCGTTTATGGAGATTACGGCTTTCCCTTAATTAATTACCTCTTCGCTTTGTAGCCGGAAAATTCGGGAACGTTGGAGATGGCGGTTGGTAGACTTGACTACGTGTGCATTAATCCATCTTGCAGAGTTTGAACCTTTTACTTTCAGGATTACGTATTGGGTTTTTAAAAAGTATCCTAGTGTGAATTCTACCTCCGTTTGGATTAACACGCGGATCGTTTGGTCCTCTGTGATATAACATGGAGACAATGTCCCAGGTGGAGGTACTTACCTTAAACACCCGTCTCTCGTTATTGCCTTGTTCTAACCGTCGGGATTGTGAATGTAATACATTTCGATCTTAATCCGCTGGGGAATTTATGAGCTAATATCTGTCATCGATTAATGCAATTAAATTTCCCGTGATATTGATTTAACGATTAAGGCTCTTCTTTTAATTTGGATCCACCATTATATACAAAAATATAATAGTCGTGCAGACTTAAAGTTAGACACGCACACGAAATTAAAACAAAAAGCTTACCGGTGGTGATCGGTTGTGTATTTGTGAGAGGGTCGTTTGTATATATCATAACAAGTTCAAGTTATTATAACTCAGTCAGTTGCATAATTGATTGGCATTTCAGCACTTTTAGAATTCGTCTGGTTGTATCTATCTATTCGATTTTTTACGATCGTTCTTGCTAATTGTCAGCGAGGGTTGGGCGAAACACGTTGATTAGTTGAGCCTGTTGAAAGATTACAGCTCTATTGACGATAACATCCTCTACTTACCGATTTTCCAAACTCTCCAGTCGCCGTAAGAGGTTGTTCATTCCTGCTAGGTCCGCATTTCGCTTTCCACGAGAGGGAGCATTCTTTTGCTTCATATCATGAGTCCTCAACTGTACCTTTCTGTAGTCTTTGCCGTTCATGTAATCTTCAAGCTTGTCTAGCCTTTCAATGATATTCGTTAAACGATTGCTTAGCTGTACATGAAGGGCATATTGGGCCCAAATGTAGCTTACGATCACCACGATCTGAAGTGACTGCCAGAGTGACAGCGAAAGATAACGAGAAACGATCCACCGCAAAATTCCACGCGCCGTCATCCTCACCTTGTTTTTGGCTAACACTTTACTTCAATAAACTGACGCTGCGGAAAGGAAGGATAGAACTCGTTAAAGAAGAGTAAAAACAAGGCGACCATGTTTGAGTTTTGTCTCGAGTTCCTTTGTAAACTGTTTACTTCTTTGTGTGCGAAGTATGCATTCCGCATAAACGTCACGTCGATAAACTCCGAAGACCGAGAATTTACATTCAGTCATGCAAATGACACGACAACCGAAGCGGAACCATAGCCCCTGCTGAAATTTCAATTACAAAACAACAGTCAATAGTCGTAGTGTAGTGGTAATAGAATACAAATACGCCCTGCTATTGTTAAAGCCCGTTCATGCCTAAAGTAGCCCTTCGTACAGGCTTTTATCTTTTGTTTGGTAATATAAATCGCACCTGGTGTAACAGCGGAGGAGAACATTCTTAACTGATCTGCCCAACGTGTACTGTCACATTGCCAGCGAATTTAAAAACATTAACATTTAAAGCCTCTTACCCTCGCTATTAATCTTGATTGACTTGTCCAAACTGTTTAGCCTTTTAATAGCGCGTAAACCAGAAATTTCAACATGTAACTTTTTATCGCTTACCACGTATGTATTTTTGGAAGGTGTGCTCACCGTCTGTTTTTGCCTTTTCCGTTGCGATAAAATTACCACAAAAACACCCGTGCAAGCGCTTAAGTCCATGCATCACATGTCCAAAGTGATTTGAATTCTTTGGGTCAACAAACTTGGCATTTCTGACGTTCAACCGGAGACTGGCAACTCTAGATTGCAGCTGTTTTTCCTTCGATTCCTTGAGTTTCTCTACGTCGAATGACAGAAAGGATTGAAAGGACTCTCAATAGTAATAAAAAGGTTTTGGCCTTTATGGATCGATTCCAATTTTTTGTCTGTTCTCGTTATGATAAAGGGTCTTCGACCGCGATTTGTCTCAAGTGAGAACATCGGGTTATGTTCATCCTGAAATGATGTCTACTCTTACAAGTGGTCCAAAAATTTTAACATGATGACGTATCACTTAAAACTACTTTAATTTACCATTGTTCCCAATGGAATTATTTTTCAGATCGACTAAATGCATGACGATGGACACTTTTTCTTCTTCTTTCGGTTTGTTCTTAAACTAGAAAGGCTTACTTATCGACAGACTTGCTAATTGGCTAATTTGTTCTAAGAGCCGGCTTCCTGTTATCCACAAGTCAGTTTCTATGTTTATCCAAGGTCATTGGATGGTACTGGTTTGACATGTGCGTGACTTTGATAAGAGAAGAAGGATTTTTAAACAACGAGATGGAACCATTTTAACTTGACCTTGGGTTAACACTAGCCCTAAGCAGGAGGGGCTTTTCTCTGACTGTTGTATCTCAATTTTAATAGCCATTCACTTAAACTAAAATCCCATTAAGATCTTCGCTTATCACGTGAACTGTCTCGTCTGCTTAATGAAACTATAAATAGGTTTGAAATTTTTTGCCAGAAATTACCATTAGGAAAATAAGTGGTGCAACGGTCACGACAGATGAATCTCATCAGGCTGATATTAGGTGAACTTACACTAGTATCCAATAACACTGTGGCGAAGGCGCTGTGGGATAAATATGGCCTGGGTTCGAATCGGCATCACGTAGTTATTGACCCAGATTTAAAATTGTGCTTGGAACATATTTTTGACGATAATTTCTTGAAGAGAGCAGAATCATTGCTCTTAGGCCCTGCCAAGAGATTATGAAATGTTTTTAATCTCTTGGTCCTGCTTAAAAATTATTTCCGTATCAGTTGATTGGTCTGCCATCAGTTTTTGTTCACCCACATTTCCATGACAAAATTTAAACGAACACATTCATTATAGTCATTTTTATTCATCGATCGTCTGACTGACTTCGTTTTGATGCTTGTGCCACCGAAAATACAAGCCTCTATAGAAACAAAGTTTAGTTGTGGGGTCGCTCGTCTAGACTGAATTGAGCATCTTATTAAGAAAAAGTTCATTGTAATGTCCTTGAACATTTATTTTCTAAGGCCGATGTTGTTGATAATTCAGACCTTGAACCCTTATTTTTTGTTTTTAGATCAAATGCGTGTTACAAGGCGATGATTGTTGTATTTGTTAAGTGTGTAGCATAATTTTAACGGTCAAATTATTATTCTATCTTCAACCTCTGCAGACCAGAGGCGGTATATTTGAGGACTTTAGACCTTACACATTCTATGCAGCCCACAGGAATGGCCGTCGTGTGGTGTTTTGATAGATAAAAATGCGATGATTACACCATTTCCTTGCCATTTATGCTCATTCCAAAATTTGAATTTATCAATTAATGAAAAATTCTTCTTGAGGTATGTGACATTTATCGCACAAATTCACGGACAGATGTATACATTTTGTTTGCAAAACACGACACGACATATCCTCTATTTCTGACAATGTGAGTGTACGTTCTTTATTGCGTAGCGCAAGATGTGCGATTTACCTTGTATCATTTAAATGAATTCTTCTTTCGATGCATATCTGTTAAAGAGGAAGAATTATCATTTATATTATCACCAGGCAGGCTGGTGTATAAAGCCTTTTTTCACAATAGTTGAGACAGTCGATCCTTAAGAATGTGGAATGGTATTGCTTGCCCACCATCAATTTAAAAAAAAAAATAAAACGTCTCGTAGACTACCCAGAATTCCACACAGATCCACGACGACTATCCGTCATCAGTAACAGATCCGCGGAAAGGGCCGGGGCCCCGGAAACCCCCTTATCTCGTCAGAACCAGGAGTAATTTTTGTTTCTTGTTTTAAATCAAACTTCTTACCTCAGAAGGATCGCATATTGCGACCCAACTTGAGGTATTTAAAATTTACCATCTTCAAATGTTTCTTGCTTTTCCAGGCTGGTTCAAAGTTTGGACCTCCTATCAAAACTCCTGGATGCTACCCCGGTCCACGCATACCGAGGCTACAGCGGAGATTGCAACGCTAAGATTGGCCTCACGGCGCCTGAGATGATGCACGACTATAAGTTCTCACCACTGTTCAAGATTCGATCGACCGATAGTCACCAAAAATAAGACGTACACAATATGACATACATAGAATTATCTTCGCTCACGTTCTTTTCATCACCGCACATGGGAAAACGAAACAATTCCTCTCGTTTTAGACGTGCAATAGGAAATATAAGTCCGTCGAATTTTTGTTTTTCCTTTCCTGCAGCTTTCGCGTTTTTTGACTGAATTCATCGCGTTATCGCAGTACGCTGTATACTTCTCGCTTAAAAATTGGCTTGATAAGATTCTGTATTGAACCGCATTAGAAGAGATGGTCTTACTAAATACTGAAAGAAAAACTTACCTGATTGTAAATCAGGTTTCAACCGAACGTAATCGGTACCTCTTTTATAACAATGATGTAATAATGAATTCATAAAGCATTCATTCGAAATAGAACCGTGTGTCCTCAGAAGCCTTCAACATCTTCTATAACGAGGGTTTTGCAGAGGGAAACATCAAGTAAAGTACCCGTAAACCCACCATTTATTGTTAACTCGAGCCTCTCCTCTCTGCACAAGCCCAATCACTGAATTACTAAATGAAATTTAACGTGAAAAGAAGAAATGCACGTAATTATACTCTTTTTGTGGCGTTCACCTTTAAGAAGAACCCATCCCTCCCTAGACACTGAAGTCGTAGAGTCTGTGGCAGTTTGCATGCCACCATCGCCCCCTTTGCTCTACGATTCTATATTGAGCATTGACACCTGGTGTGTTCGAGCACTTGTCTTAACTGTATTATAGCTGATCGCAGCTGTTGAAACAAAATGATAATCACTTGACCTCTTCAACATTGGGAACTGATAGACGCACTAGTGGTGTTTTAAGCTGAGATTGCTGATTGCAATTATCTATGAATAATCTAGTTGATCCTTAGTCCTTGTTACTTTGTACTGGTTTGGCTGATTTTCTGCTTATTTAAATTCCAAAAATCTTGCATGCGTGAGGTAATTACTACTTGCATTCGCGAAAAGATTAGATAGGCCGGTAAATTTAATATTCCGGTCTCTAAAAAAAAGAAGGTAAAAGACATGGAATGTTTAAAAAACTGTTTCTCTTTCAATTCTTGATACTTTCAAAAAACTGTAATGCGATTACGCGACCAAAGAAAAAAATTTTTTCGGGAATTAAGGAAGTTTTTTTGCGTCAGACACCCTTAAATAGCGGTCTATACAAACCGCCAAACAATAACTGTCAGCAAGTCTAGCTTAGAATACCATGTGTCAATAAAAAGAGTATGAATGATTTATGAATTAAATTGTCTTCCTTGATTAAGTGGAACATCCAAGGGGGTGGAAGATTCTTTAGATTTATTCCTAAAATTTTCATTCCTAGCCCACCTTGTATCTCGCTTAGGAAACACTGCTTTCTTTTTTGGTCCTTAAAAATGCGTTCATGATTTCAACAGGGGCCGAGGAAAAGGCAAAAGAAATTGAGGTTTGCCTTAGCATCAATTACCTGTGCTTCGCAATACCTATGATTCCTTATAGTTTACAGCTGGTGGGAACACCAGAGGTTACTTTACAGGAATATATACTTTCAAAAGTTCAAACTGCTAGGGTTTTTTTTCTTCTTTAAACTCTCTTGTCAAGGAAAAGAGAGCAGCTAGCTTGGAAACTCTGGGTAAGGATTGACAGAAAAAGCGGACGAACAAAATACCCAAGAAGAGCAAGTCGGGGGGAAAAGAAAATCACAAGGCATGCAATATGAATAGGTAACAAGAAAATGTACAAAGTTGTCCTTCTTTTCTTTTCGCTTTCGGGAAAGTGTAGTTTTGTTAGCCTTATTGCTAAAACAAATTGACTCGAGAAGATTCAGTTTTGGAACATCGGATGGATCAGATTTCCTCTCCAAAGTGTCGTATTTGTCCTCCACAAATATGAAATCTTTCTTTTTTTTTTAAAAAAGCTGCAACTAAATGTTAAAAAAGAAAGGAAAAAATGATTGTAAACGGTTTCAAAAGACTGAGAAAAATACCTCTTTTAGCGGGAAACCTTGCGTCTTCTGAGGCCTTCTAACTCTTCTTTGACGTGGCTCCTTTAGAGGAAAACATCCAGTAGAGTACCTTAATCCCTTAATCTACTTAAAGAACAGATTCCATGTTGTTGCCGCGGGTCTGATCAGTAATAAATCAATGATGACTTGAAAACGTGGTATGGGTAAAAAATTTGCACACGAGGCGCAATCTTGTGTGTCACTGATTTTTCTGACCACATTTTGACATCTTCTGTGATCTCTTATTGAAAAGAGGCACGAAACACGGAACCTTTTTTTTTAAAGTAATAAAG